TTCACAGCGGTAACTGCCCGCAGTGTTAATGCACGCGTGCTCACAGTCCAAGTTCTCCTCCTCACATTCATCGACGTCTATCAACGAAATGAATAGAATGAGTTTAGTAATTGTTTTGATGTCAATGTAAAAAGTATCTCGGCACAAGCAGTGAACACCGTACCCTCGCACGCTGGTTTTATGCCCTGCTTCTGTTTCTCTGAATTGAACCGGTAGCCTGGGAAACAGGTGCAGACAATTTTCTGTGGGTAAACAGAACATCGTTGTTCACATAGCTGAAGAGAACAGGGGTCCACAGACTGGTGAAGACACCTGAAACACAGCAAAATGGGGGAGATAATAGGGCCCATTACAAAATAAAAGTACCAGATCAGACATGAATGCGTTTTATTAGAATTATGATGTCTAATTTTTTAGTGCAGAGTTGAGCAGTTAATTGATAACTCAGTTCTGGTCCTCTGGGTTGTGACACCATATGGGACCACAGTTAACATCATCTTCATTGCCATTAGAACCTCAAATCTCGGTAGACTGTCAGGTATTCAAGTACCATATATATTTCATCATAATATTCAATTCATTCCTATTCGACTTCATCTGATAATGTATTTCCCTCAGATGAATTTGGGTTTCCCAAAAGGTCTTCTTTCTTTTGTTTTTGTATTCACAGTTTTCAATGAATTTCTAGTTTCTTTCATCTGTGGTACAGCTCCGTGCCATCTCAACTACCATAATCGCCTTCACAATAACAATAACTAATGTAGACTCGTCAATACCAAATTTAATCTTAATATGTTCGGTAGCTTCAGATATGAAACTTGACAATGAACTGATGAACAAACAGAGATTTTATTCATATTGTGCAAAAATTTATAATACAAATTTTGTAGATTGGAATGTGCAGTGGGGGACTGATTGCTTATATACCTGCCAGCGACATATACATAATCCGGGCAGCACTGACGACGTAGGCAGTCGATCCACTTTTCATCCTCTCTTTTGCATTTGTAACGTGTAGTAATTATGTTATCTGATGGACACTGCAAGAGCTCTGTTCTGTAATGAAAGAAACATATTCAAATTTTTCTCTCGTTTTAACTGCCATTATGAGTGGCCACTTAATTACTTACGTAGATACTGGGAACGACCCGTTCTTCAAGTGCCTGAGCGCTGCGGGTCCCAACTTTTCGTTGGCTTGATCTATAGACATTCGGTAGGACTCCTTGGACGAGGGATCGGCCCGTCGCAAGGCCTCTACCTGTACACAGGACAGCACAACAAACATCCATGGCTTGAGTGGGATTCGAACCCACGGTCCTAGCCCACGTCTCAGACCGCGCGGCCACTGCGGACCCCATGAGTGGCCACTACAGTAATAAAACATTATTAATTGGTTAAGTAAAAGTATTGTCGGTACTCGGCCTAACTTCGGAAATCAGTAATTCATTCCCTCAGTACAAAGTACAAAATCTAAGTCGTGGTAATTGATATCATTGACATTTTATTGTAACGATATGCACTTGCCCTGATACTGGTTCGGAGTGATCCATAGAATCCAGGACATAGCCGTCTTCGTCATTCTGCACTGAGCATCGCACGAGGGACGTCAACACCAAAAGCGTCCCCGTCGCTCTTAGTGTCCTGTAATAATACACTCATAATTGATTGGCTTGTTGGAAATAAGTGCCAGACACGATTCGATTTCTTAACACTTTCCTGTAAACATACCGGAACACAAATACACCACTAGCGCTGCCCATCGATAATCCCTAACAGTTGTTGAATTCTTCGAGTTGCAATAAGCGAATTAGCTTTTCTTTTCCAAATCACATTCCAGATTCACTTCGGTCGCAATTTGTGTTTATTACAGTCACAGATATCGAAGTCCTTATTCTTGAGAATGTGTGTGTGTGCACTTTATTAAAAAATATATAATCTGGATGTCTGTGTCAACAAAAGACTACAAAAACCCTTCTTTCCCTCCCAATTTGTACTAACTACTTACTGTCGTAATATGAAACATACGAATTGTTTTCGAGATAATAAAGTGAACACAAATGTACACAGCCTTTCATTTTACATATATCCACTCATGAATGCTTGTGATTATTGCGTGGTTTTAAGAATCTCTGTAGCCTTGTTCATATACACTGTTGATCGTCAGTCGTAGACTCCGAGGTCAACTGAACACTTGGCTCTTTCATCCCGCAGAATCGAAACACTTTTTGTCCGACTTGTGGCATGGTATATGCTTCAGAAGAAATCATCTTTCTTAATGCGCCTACGCAGCGTTGTTTATGAGGCACTAGAAATCTAAGATGAGCTGTCATGGTTTTAACATCTCCAGTCTACTCCAAACTTGCTTCAAATGTCCATGTTTTCTTAGCACCAGACAGCACTGGGTTTAAAAAGGCTATGGTATTTAAAATTTGAAATCAGATTGGTTCTCCAAACCGGGAGAAAACAAGCAGCAAATTATAGTCTGTTCACTGATAAGATTGAAAGCAACTGTCGCTTCCGGCTGGAACTGCATGACTCACTGCCAAGCGCTGCGAGGTTTTCTTGATTCCAGTTAAGTACGGTTAAAAGAAATCAACTTAGCAGTTTCTGTCAGAAACCGGGAGGTGACATTTGTGTTAAACTTTATCAGTGAACGCACTACGCTTACAGTTTAGAGTTCCGATTGATTTGGTATTTTTTAAACAACGATTCGTCAATTACATCTCGTCAAACAGTTCTCTCAGCCGCCATGTTATTATTTTCTATTTTTCTAACAATATGTCCTTGGCCTTTTAATAGATCTGTCGCCGCACAAACCCTCAGATCCTCCATTCTCCCACCCCATAAGTTCGCTAATAGCTTAAAAATACAGAGGTATTCATGTATTTGTTTGTGGTTTATTTAATGACGCTTTCATTAGTTTAGTGGTACGGTGATCAGTGAATAATGAAATTATGAATATTAATGTAAATGATCGTGGCCTAATTTAAGATACTATCTCGGAATATACCTGGAGAGACTAAGGAAAACCACAAAAAAGCCTCAGTCATGGCAGCTGTTCTTCGGAATATCTAGAATACGAAGGAATGCAAACCCAGACGCGACGTTCCGTGTGTAGAAACGTGTCCAGTGGCATGATCGTACCGAGCCTCGCTTTATTCATATTGAGATCTAAAGGGTTATTATGTTAAGCTGGTATTATGGTTGAATGAGGTAGTTCGCCACGAGGACTGAGCACAGTTATACTCTGGAAGTTTCCTGCCGGGTGTGCAGTCGTACGAAAACCAAAACAATTGATTCACATACGCCAGGAATCCGATTTTAGTGCTGGGCCGCCAATGTTGTTAATTTATATTCTATAGTTTATTTCTAGAAGCTTGTTTTAAATATATAGTGTTATACAGTTATAGAACGAGAATTACTTTGATGAAAACAGCATTTGTCAGCGAAAAATGATTGAACCTTAATTCATTGGTCATGGAGAAATGCTGGATAAATCCTGGAGAAGTGCTTACGAAGTCCTGGAGAAATTCTGAATAAGTTCTAAAGTGGTGTAGGACAAGTCCTGGTTAGTTTATGTGGATTTTCATTCGCCATGGAGAAGTGCTGGAGAAATCCTGGAGAATTGCTGGAGAAGTCCTGGAAGCTTATGTGGAAATCGAAAAGCAGGCGGTGGGTTTTATCCTATGCGGGTCGGTTATTTCAGATTCCTTTATATTTTATTGGTATACGTTACATTGGATTAGGTTGCGTTGTATTGGCTTAGGTTGGGTTGGGTTGGGTTAGGTTAGGTTAGGTTTAGTTAGGTTAGCTAAGGTAATGTTAGGTTGTTTACGTTAGGTTAGATAAGATTGTTTTGTTTTGGGATGGGGACCAAACCCTTGTCATTTTCAATGAAGCGAATGGAATCCAAATATTAACTTTGTACTTTGGTGTTTTGACAGACAAAAGATAACGGTCGTAGTACGTAGTTATGAATCAGTTTCGTTTAAACATTCATGAGCTGGGTTCATAGTTCTTGACTCTGTGAAAATATTTTCCCGCTCTGACTAAGACATAAATATTTACATTCAATACTCTAGTCCATGTTGAATTTTGATAGCACTATTTCAGCTTCTTAAAACGTTTTAAAAATATTTATATGCAAGCCATGTCCGTTCGTGTTTCGTCGCTAGAATGCAAGGAAAATCACATTACACGGAACGGTGGTAATAAATCAGAGTTGCGGCCATTAATATATTACGTTAAGGCAATGCTTATTTCCATTTCATTAAGAATATTTTATTTTCCTGTCAAAATGCTTTAAGTAACTGACATTTAATACGGATCTGAATATTAGTCTCTCACAGGCGGAAAACATTGAGCCAGGGGTGGAAAAAGTTTCTGAGGAGAACATTTGTACCCAAAAGAGAGAAAGTAACAGGACAAAGAAAATTGCATAAAGATGAACTATTTTATAGTCTTTATCAAATATTGTTATGCTGATTAAGTCAAGGAAAGGGGACGGGCGGTATATGACACACACACACATGGGGGAGATGAGAAATAAATTAATGTTAGTATGAGGATCAGAACGATGGTATCCCAGCAAACTATTGTTGTAAAGAATTCGAATTTTATCGCTTTCATAGTCGCGTCCGTAATCCCACAGCGAGCCTGCTAAGATACAGGAGTCCAAGAAAGACGTATACACTCAATAGTATAATATGTATACATATTTTTGGGACATCTGTAGTTCTGCGCGCCTGTCTGCCTACAGGCATGAAACTTATCTAGAATGGATGAATCGAATTTGATTAAATTTATTGCTGGATATTTTTTTTTCTCTCGAAAAATTGCCTATCAGTAACACTTTTTATTGGGATCGGATAGTTTTAATTATCACTTTACGTGATATAATTATTTGTTTGTCTAACGAAAGCTCCTGTTAAATGTACGTACACTGTACTTTTACAGTCTCGATTCCTGAATTATTAGAACGCTGTTGGAATTTTGATGAAGTAAATAAAAGTAATTAAATTCGCTTTCCTTTACAACTGATTGTTCTGCCATACAGATTTAGTAATATTGTTAAATCTGTAAAGAAGAATCGATTTCCCCAAAACTTCTACTTTCATCTAAAGGCAAATTCACGTTTTGGGAGCTGTTGGCAGGGGCATGTTGTTGACACAACTGGAATCATTCTCAAAAGCCAAAAGTCAGAGCGTAGTAAACAGTCTGGAATTGTTACTCATGCATGAATTTTGTAGCTTGTTCATCTAATATTAATGTAATTGCTGCCACACAGAAAACTATTGCTTTCAGACACTGTAAAAAAGACTAACGAAGCGTGGAAGCAATGACGTGTTTCAAAATAATACTGACATCAACATTACAGAGGTCATATAGCTTCTCTGTGTGGTGTGTGTACAATGAGATTATCTGTCCTGTGTAAGTCACTGGAAGAATTACTTTACAAGTCCTTGTTTTGTGTTCTTCAAGGACATTAAAGTAACACTTGTTTCTTCCTCTCTTTCAGACGCACTGACACATGCTTTAGATCAGTGGTATTCAACCTTTTTTTTTGTTCGCGTACCCCTCGATATAATTTCTCTTTAACTTTGTACCCCCAAAGTTGTTGGTGTATAATTCAAGTTATATATCTAAAATAAATTACATCCAAAATAATGTATTAAATAATAAGTTTTAAATGAGAAAAAGGAGAATCAAGCTATTAAATAACAAATATATTATTGCCTATCGTATAAAAATTAATAAAGGAACAAAGGTATTTTAGCAAAGCAAAATTATATGTTTAAATCCCGCCCAATAGTGTTCAGTCAGGTTCCAAAGCACTATGTGGAATAAAATGAAACCAGCCGCCCAGATAAGAATCGCATAAAGGAGAGAGACAGAAATGGCGCTCCCAAATCGAATGTCCTTACGTCCGGTTCTCCTGTGGCTAACCCGAAATCTGGCCCTGATTATTCAGTGTTTATCATAAAATAATTTTTTTAAAAAAATTTCGCTTACCACCGGGGGTACGCGTGGCCCAGGTTGAAAACCACTGCTTTAGAGAGGATGTGTTAATTAACATCTGCTACTTATTGATATAAGTTACTAGAACTTTGACCCCCTCATTCTGTAGATAGAACTGTATATTTCCAAGACCTGGCACAAATAATATCATATATATAAACGATCTCCAATGACTTATCATCAGTGATTTATAGCTGTATAGTCGTGCTAGTTATAATAACGATTACAGTAGCTCTTATATTAGAAATAATTGTGAGGTTTCGATTAAGAAAACATCTGTAAGTGGGCTGAAACTGAATGGACTGCCTATAGTAAGTAAGCAGCTGTGTGGAGAGCAGATTGTTTAGCGTGTGGTAATTACATATTTTAGACAAACGTCTTCTTTAAGATTATCTCTGAATTTATTAAACCTTTTTTTTCCAGTGTAAATGAGCTGATTGTCCCTATTTAGGAGCGTGATGTTTCAGATTAGGGCTTTTTTCAAAAATAACACTCGTTACAGAGGAATGAAAAGAGATAGGCAAAGATAATTATTACTTGCATTATCAAGGTCAAGTTCACACTTTCATTATGTAACTTAAATCTGTTTTATCCTTGTCTTCTGATCAGCAACAAACTGTTTTTTTTTTACTTACATGAGTATCATTAAAACGCATGCGGAGCTAAATGTCTCTTTTTATTATAATAGTGTACTATAAATAAAATATTCTATTTATTCAGAGATCTAATACTCAGCTTTGATCTCTGAATCTCTCGTCATGATAACATTTCTGCATGTGGACAATATAATTACCTTATCAGTACTCTTTCATCAGTTAATACGCAGACGACTGAACACGTGTGGGTTTGCTACCTTTGCTTTCTATTGCGCAAAGATTTCAATGCATCGCTTGAAAGAAACTTCTTTGCTTAGAATTCTCATGAATCTGGACCAGTTATGCTTCTGGAAACATTTAATTAAACTGGTAAATATGTTTATATAATATTGAAAAAGTTATTTCTTTTATTTAAGTCTTTCCCACAAAAGAATTTTAATATTCACACAAAGGACTGGTATAGTTTTATGAGAAGAATTTCAAGGTTTGTTGAGCTTTTCCATTACATAATTATAATGTAAAATAGTGAGATAGAAACTTAATTGAAGTTTCAGAATCACATTAACAGTACAGACAAAACAGTTAAATACAATTTGTGTGTTGTTTTGTTTTGTTTTTGTCATGTGTTTTAATTGATTAATTATAATTTTATTGCAGGTTTGAAGTACATTAGTACAGGATTCTATTTGAGTTCACTAGCACGCATGGCTCATCAGCTGAATTGAAACTTAATGAACTGTGAAGATCATTGTATTTGTTAGTGGTAGATTTTTCACAATGTTGAGTGTTAAAAATTCAAGACTGGTTGCCACGCTTGTACTGCCTGGAATCACCTTTTTCTTCGGAATCCTGTCTGTGGCGTTTCCTTCCCGGCAAAGATGTCCTCTTATGACATCAGCATTTTTATGTTTTGGTGCTGGAGTGTTGTTAGCTGTGTCCATGCTTCACATGCTACCAGAAGCACGTGATAGTCTGTCTGACCTAGCTGAACTATCCTTCTGCGTTGGTTTTCTGCTCTTATACTTCATTGATGAAGTGGTCCATTTCTTTTGTGCATACCACCTTCCTATACATGAAGCACGGGGTAGAACTTGTATATTCAATTACTCATCTTCAGTTCTGCCATCTTTATTGCAAAATAGTTCAGTAAAACAACAGCAAAATATATTATATGACCAGAGCAGTTTTGAAAATAACAGTAGCACGGACAGTGATGGTACAGTGTTTCAGTATGGAAATCGCCTCAACAGTAAACATCCAAGACGATTTTCAGGTGGAAGAAAGAGTTTTGAACCAACAGGTGGTGAAAAGGCAAAAGTTTCTATTTACCGTCAACTGCTTAACAAAAGTGATAAACCATCTACAAGTTATGGTAGCATAAGTACCACAGAAGATAACAATGTTGATGTTCAGAAAGATACTGTTTCCAGTCTTAAAGATGACATAGTACAGCGAAATTTAATTTCGGCAGGCAGACCAGCAGACTTGAGACAACTAGATGTAGCAAGCTCTTCTACACATAGTGTTGTTCAGATATCACAACGAAGACAAGATGCAGTGACCTCTTTTCATCATAATCAAGCCCCACAAGAACAATATGAGACTGACTTTAATACGCTGTGTCACAATAATTATTCCCCACCATTCGCAAAGTCAAGAGCAGGTCACATAGGTCTGTTTATAGCATTGACTATCCATTCAATGTTGCAAAGTGCAGCTGTTGGTCTCGAGCCATCAGCTGAGCAGATATTGATGCTGACAGGAGCAATAGCATGCTACAAGATGGTTGTGGCCTTTGCCTATGGTCTGGAGCTTAGGGAGTCTGGCAGTGGATGTCTCAGTGTTTGTGGCCAGATATTTTTATTTTCGCTTGGATCAGTATTAGGCATAACTCTTAGTGGAGTTTTGGCAGAAGATGAAAATGTTCACATAATAACTGGACCTGCTGTATCCATTATACAGGTATGTGACCTTTTAGAACTCTCAGTATGGAATTAAATTCTTATTCAAGGTTTCTCTTTGAACAACTGATTGAGTTTCAACTAAGGAAAATTTATACATCAAAAATTAACTTCAGTATCTGCTGCTTTAAAAGTAAATAAGAAAAATTTACACTAAAAAAAATTTAGTTGGGTTCATGTACGTTAAATACATTTAGAACCTTAAATTAGAATTTCACTGTACTCTTTTCCCTCCTATGGAACATATAAAGGTGGAATTTGAAATTTTACCTACCATACTCCTCTCTGATGTATCATAGTTAATTTCAATGTATCTTTATATCTTGGACCTTCCTAATTATGTATTCTAAAATAACATTGGTGGTGATCAAGCATCTCCATGTTTCAGACCATTCTAAACAGAAACTGAATCAGACAAATGTTTACTTATATAGGTCACAGACAATTGATTTAAATTACTTTTACAAAAATTACTCAAAATAGACTGAAGTTTTCTATTAACACATGCATTTTTTACTGAGACATTTACAAAACGATATCAGTGTTGATTTTAGAACTTTTTCCCAGTCCACCATATATATTTATAAAATTTTTTGACCAGTTTCAGCTGTTGTGTAATTGTCAAATTATGTATGAATAACAATGTATTTTTATGACTAAGCCACTGGGTATCTTTAAAATTTGCAATGGAATTGAAGAAAGAATGGAAAGATTGATAACTGTTATATGAAACTTTTTTCAATAATTGTGCGTATTTAACAAAATGTGGGGTACACATTGTGTGGTAAGTTTAGTGGCAGTAATATATATCTGAAATAAATAGACATTAAAGCAAATGAGGGAAGATAGATTGCAAAGGAAGCTTTAGGAGTCTGCTGTTTCCACTCCTGTTATTTGAGTTTGTCTGCTTATATACTTTAATGTAAGAATTACATTTTTCAAATAGTGGCAGTTAATTTAAAAAACAGCTTCAGAAATCCAGCAATTATATTCAGTACTTCTGGTAAAATATAAATTTTGTATTTGTTTAGCAATTAGTGCTGCAAAAAACAGAAATACAGCTATTTGAGGCCAGCCAAATGGCAAACAATGTCATATGACAAAAATTTTTTGCATGTTATGTTTGTATTATAACATGATTATAGTACAAGTAATTCTAAATCCTGAAACAAAGTTAAGCATATTTCATTATTCTGTTAGCATTCTTTAGGATTCCTGTTTAAGTAATTTATGTTTTACTCTCAAAGCCTGATTGATAACCCTCCAAAAGCCACTATCATATCCTTCTCCCTGTTATGAAAATGTTTTTATGAAGCTGTAAGAACAAAACTGTACAAATCATCATAACAAATATAAAAGCAATGTATTATTTTTTATGAAGGTTCATTTCTGTAACTTTTTCATTAGATAGTTTCTTAATGGAACTTGTTTATAAATATTCATGTTCCCAGTTTCTGCAGCTGCTTAGTGGGTGCTTTGTTTCAGGCAATTTCTGCTGGAATGCTTCTTTATATAACAACGTGTGAAGTATTGCCTCGAGAACGTGCAAAATGGTACCACCAGTTTGAACACACAGCTGCAGGAATCTTACAGCTCACATCAGTTACAGCTGGTTTCTGCATTATATATGCCCTTAATACTTTCAGAAGTAAGTTATTTATGGAAGACTGAGTGCTTCTTCATCTGATAGGTTTGTAAGGAAAGTTTCTATAGTAATATTACTGAACTACTAACATATCAATAAATTATTATAGTGATATATGCTTGGACTGGATGTGCTCTAGCAAATTTAATGATCATTCTTATTATGTTGGTGTTATTTATAGAATTTGTTTGTTGTCTGTATTGTTATCATTCAATTTTATTTATTAAATTGCAACCAGTCTTTGACACACAACTAAACATTTAAGACATGAAAAATTCCCAGAAACATATAAATGTTGCATCATTACATATTGTTGTGATTCACTGCCAGAGTCATAGGTTATTTGATGACCCTAGGATTATGTATTAATCAATGATGTCTACTGGAATGGTAGGCCGGGAGAGATGGAGATATATTTTTATAATTGTTATAAACTATGGGAGCTGATTAGAAGTATGAAGACTGAATTCATATCTAAGATAAATATCACTGTACATTATCATAAGCATCATCTGTGCTAAGTAAAGTTTACCGCAGTGGCATAAAACTGTTAATTATTCAAAACCACCCAAACAATGCAGATATGAAATAAGTATGGAAATGCTTTGTGCCTTTCATATATCGGCCACCCATAAAAGACTGTGTAAAAAATTAAATGAGTATATTTATAACATTCCAAAACTTTCCGGTATGCATAATTCTGGCAGAGTTTTTATCTCACATGTTAACTGTTGCAGTAATGGATTCCCTAACAGGACTTATGTTAATGTTTATGTTGTATGAGAACCAACAGAATGTTACTCCATGGTAAATAGGTGATAATCAAGGATTTATCATCTTGTAATTCAATGATATACAGAGAATCCCAAAAGCACATATATGCAACCATTACATGCATCAGCATTGTGTATGCATATTTTTTGAACAGCCTGTATACGATACATTCCACTGCATGGAGCTCATCTCATCATTAACATGATATTTTTGGAATCCATACATGGCCTAAATCAGGGTTGTCCAACATTTTTCTTCCCTCATGCCAAACAGTAGTATTCTGCTTAGATCCCAGGGCCAGGAAACCACTCCTGGTACAATTTTTCAGAACTATTTGTCAGTTTTAATCGAAATTACTAATTACCACAGTTTATGCTTGAATATACATTTTATTGAAATGTGCCAAATTATTCAAAAGTTAAAGCACGTAAAGTTGTCCCACATTACGTTAGTTTGGGATGTGTTACAATATACATTTTATTGAAATGTGCCAAATGTGTTACGTTTAGTTGGAATATGTGCATGCATTGATGTTCATGGGTCATGACATCATATTTGCCTGACTTTATGACTTTGTGCATCCGTGACGTTGGTATTAGCCATTTCATGAAAATAGAGGGTACTGCTTCTGTGCCATAATCTTCATGTTGATTATCATAAAAATCCATTTATATTGTCCCCAATTATTTTGCCCAAGTCGTGGTTTGTAAGGTCACCGATTTATGTCCAGCATAGCTTCTTCGAATGAAAATCATTACTACAGTAACCAGTTGATGCGTAAGGTCACCGATTTATGTCCAGCATACCTTCTTCGAATGAAAATCATTACTACGGTAACCAGTTGATGGGACTGATTTTATTGAAAATCATGATTGTGTCCGATGCGTGCTGAAATGTAAGGTGCTCCAGACCCTACTTTTTCATTCTTTATAATAATGTTATGCCAAATAGGAAAGAATAGATTTTTGAAATATATATTAAATAATTGGTTAACTGTGTATAAAATATTTTTTTATGTATCTTATTCAAAACTGAGTTACTGAAATAAACTAATTGTATACCAGGAGTTGATACATTCATGTTTAAACCATTAACTTTTTGTGTAGAAGGGATTTGCTTTTGTATAAGTTGCCTGTATTGGTGTTGACGTATCTCTTTGTTGATACAGACGTCATGGATGTGAATTTAAACATGTGTTGTTTGTCGTAGTGTTTTAAGCCGATGATGCATTTGTTTTATGCAATGTATTTGTTCCGCCTGAAACGATCTCTTGAAGTATGGTGCGTCAGTGCAACAAAGTAAGTAGTCTCTTCACGCATCCTGTTCTAATATTATTTTGTGTAAATGTCTCAAATGTACCATCAACGTTAGTCGATGGTTGAGGATGTCTTTAACCAGGCATATGCCAAACAGATTTTTCATTTGAATTTATAATCGCAGAACTGTAACCATTATCTCTAAAATAGTATGTATATTTGGGAACAAAAGTAATACAATTATATCCATGGTCCTGAGAGTAGTTTAAATTCAGTTAGTGTTTCCTACCACTGAATTTAGGATCTTATGAGATTTGAGGCTCTCCAAGTGGTGAAGATGTTGGCTTGATTTTCTGGTTTATGACAGTCTGGAGTCTTGTATGTGGTTAACATTGTAAAATGTATTGTCTTCATCTTCAGGGTTTAAGATGTGTTGGTAACCACCCAAGACATGGCATCAAACCCCAGAAGACCACAATCAGTTCCATGGCATCTGATTACCATTTCATATCTTGCATTCTGCCTCACATTCAGGAGTCCATAGAAGTAAATAATGCTATAAATGAAAAGGACCATGGAACAGCTAAAGAGGAATATATTTAAAAATTAGTTTCTAACATCACAAAATATTCTATAAAAATCTGCCATTTACCTTCGATGTTTGTTTTTACCTGAAATTTATATTTCTGTTTCAACTGATCATATTCTGAAATGTACATATACACAGTGACAAAATTTCTTAAAAGTATCTTATGCATAATAAAAATAAATGTATTGCCTTCTATAAACATTCCAACATCTGATTTCAACACTTAATTAAAATATTATATTGATTCTTTGTAACATCACAATAGTCTTTGAAAATGAAAGAATGGACAGATAAGTCATTTATGTAATAAAATAAAAAGACTTTCATTCTTCAGAACAGTTGTCTGTGACAAATATTGAGAAAATATGCCAACATAGGCTTTCTACTATAAATATTCAGAATGACCAAATTTTCAACCCAAGTTGATTTGATTGGAGGTCATCATGAGTCCATTCATGATGTGGCCATGAATATTGAATTTGTGTACTATACTATAATTATCGTAACTGGCCTCATAATTTCTTCAGTAAAATACAAAGTGTAAAGCAGATTACAGCATGGAGACATCCTGTTATATCACTGAACTATGTTGTCTGTGGCTGCTGGTGACAGTTTTATATAACTTTATTTAATGCAGTAAACAAAATCAAGACTTGCATGATGGTGTCAAACTTAGTCATTGGATTGTGACACTGTGTGGATGTGTTGGTATGTGTCTAAAAGTTTACTGGTGTTGCAATGCAGATGACAGAATGACATTTTCACCATTATAAAAACCTCAAATCTCATAAGGCAGTGTTTCATGGAAATCAGTATTGTAATATCTTTCTCTGGAGACAGACAGATACTAAAATATGGCATATGAATTTATCTTTTAGAAAATTATATTTTAAAGGGAACATTATTATAGCCTGTTCCAATAACAACTTCATAATTATGACAAAAATAAATTTTGTCTTTGAAAAAGAGAAATATGTTTCATTGAATTGAAAATTTTGTACTTATCAAATACACCCAGAACTTAAAATGTTTCACAGCTAAATCTAGCATTACAACAAATTTTTAAGTAATTTTAATTTTTCTGAAAAATGTAAAACACTTGAAGTGAGAGACCACCTCAAAAACTCAGTATGCTAACAGAGATATTTCATATAGATTTATTTTCCAAAAATAGGCATAAAATAATAAATTTAAGAAAATACTGTCCATAAAATTTCCTTTAGTCTAAAATGACAGAATCAAAGTATTATAGGTTATGAAATCAGAAACTAAGGAATTAGAAACTTAGAAAATGTTACAGCGAAGGCATTATTTTTCCTTCAGGGAACTGAATACAGTGAGTGGCACCACATTTGTAGACAAGACAACAACCAATATAATCTTTAAATAACATACCGAATTATGGCATACAAATGAATAAGTCCTTCTTCTTCCCTATCACTAATACATTCCTTTGGTTCATGGAACTGTGATGTGGTGCCTGATATACTGCATACTGTATTCATACCAGGTTATCACACAATACAGAATAAAACACCTCACTGGCAACAACATAGTACCTTTCTTCATGTTTTTTAGATATTGTGAAATTATAGGGTACTAGCCAAAGAAGCAATACAAAATTAATTAGCAGTACTAGAAAGTTTTCCCAGAATAAGAAAGATGAACTAGTGTATGTTAATGTCACCTCCAAAGAATTACTGCTGAAATATTTTGAAAATACTAAAATAATGTACTTTTTATTTTGTGTAGCTTTTTAAACTCTAATTTATTTTGGTCAAGGACTGCTAATTAAAAAGTGCAAAGCTTTGAGATGCTATACAGAGCACAGTGTTTCATTCGAGTCTCAGCCGTACTTAAACATTTTTGTATTCCTGAGAACTTTTTCTTTCTTTCTTTTTTCCTCACCTGGGTTGAAGAAAACTCACTCACACAAGTCAGGGACCACTAAAACTGAAACTGGAACTGTTCTGTATCATCACACACAAATTTCAACCTCTGGCCTAAAAGAGGATGCAATGCAAGTAACAACAGAACACAACTTTAGACCCTCAGACCTGAAACACGACATACTTATTCCATTTCAAACATCATGTGACATGCATAAGTTCGAAGTCTAGCCACATGATAAAGGTTGGTAACAGAAGTTTGCAACTTAAATAAGGGATGTCTTCACTGTCATGCAGTTTATAAAATATCACTGTAGTTTTACACAAATTATTTATGTCTCTCATTCCAAACATAATGATAGTGCTTTAAGGAGAATGAACTTCATATACACACATTCACTGAGTTGCTGAGAGTACAAATGTACTAGAAACAACTACTTTTAGGAATCAGTACTTTTTGGTGCAAGAAAAATAACCCATATTCTGACAACAACAGCTCCATGACCTCTACTGCGACTGCAACTGTTTTTTAACTGATGGCAAATTATGTATGAATTTAATTTTAATGCGCTGAAGCTGGTAGGCTAATCACGTCTTCATAACTCATCCCACAAAGCACTGCACAACCAGTCTGATCCCTGATTTGGGTGACAGTTTTTTCATGAACCTAAGGTAACTCCTTAAGAGGATATTTTAAATGACTGGTCTTGACTGTATTTTTGTGCACTGATACTACATCTATGTATCCAGATCTGTCTGGCTACATCGGAAATCTAACATCTCAGTCGGGAGCATTCAGTAATGACTGAGAGTCGAGAAAGGCCTCTCCTGGCAGGAAACTTGTGTTCAGTGTTAAAGAACTAGCAAGGAGAGCACCAGGTCGAGTGATACCATGGCTGAATGGGAAGAAAGAGCCAACTTGGGTAAGAGTCTGTTCAGGTGCAGATTCACCCCGCTGCAAGGCGGCCACTTCTGCAGACAGCTGACGGTGGTGCAGGTCTATCTGTGCCAGGCCACCCCCAGGGATCTCCAACAGCGGTAGCCATCGGAAGTAACACTGTCTCCAGAGGCTCAATGATGACAGCCCACCGTGCGGTAGCAATTCCTTTGGTTGTGAGTGACTACAGGCCTCATAAAGTGGGTTAGTGAACAGTGCAATGTCCTGTTCTGGGAACTGCTCCCCCCAATCCCAAATACTTCTTAACACAAGCCGGTTATTTGGATCCTGTAAAACAGATAAGGTAACTAATGGCACTTGATTTGTGAAAGAATAATCTGTTATACAGTTAAGGTAAACTGGAAAAGAATAAGAATTTGCCAAATTGTATAAGTATCTGATATTAGAACCCAGAAGTTAACATTAATATCCAGAAGAACATCAACTACAATTTGTATATACACACTTGTATATATTTGCATACATGTGCACTTTATAATATAGCAAAGATTATACAAATAACTTAGTATTCAGAGGTAAGTTAACATTCGTGTCTGACTTCAAAACACTGTTTGTTTGTTTGTTTGTTACTAAACCTGAGATTACCATATTTACCTATTTACCAACATTTTGAGAATAAAACTGCATGACAGACATGGTCGTCAGTCTAGACCTACAAATGTAAATTTAACTGTTGTCCTTAGATTTTTGTGGCTGGAGTTCAATGTACAATTTTGGTTTTCAGGGCTGAGCTGCATCAAACACAGAAAACTGTTCCTTGGATATATGGGAGGTATGCTCTGTGGCTTGTTTAAGAGATCCACAGGTATGGAAACATGAACTAAAATTAATTTTCCTGCATGCATTTCATTAAAGCAAATGATCATGATCATCTAGATTCTTGCAGTATCAATATTATGAAGCATCCATGTTTTATTTTTGGTGATGGTATACTTTCTTAGGAATGGTAATAAGTGTAAAGTTTGAGTTCTGTTTGAACACATATCGAAGACAAATTTTGGGTTTTTCCAGACTAAATTTGGGTGTCTGCATATTGCAGTTCTGTAACTTACCAATAAACTGATAATCAGAAAGAACAAGGAAACCAGGACAAAATCTCAATGAGTATGTGCACACCAAGCCAGCGACTGCATATGTATTATTAAATACTTACAGCAGTGGCAAGGGTGCGATCACGTTCACAATCAAACAGAAAAGTCTCAAACACAGAAACATGTGCCGAGTCCCAAAGGGTAGTGAGATATGTTTCTGTAAACTCAAATGCAGCTGGAAACTGTTGGAGAAGCTGCCACATGCAGTCCAAGAACACTAGAAATTCTGGTGACTGAAACAGTTTACAAGCAAGAAAATATAGCTATAAACATAGAGTATGCATCAAATTATCTATATTAGAACATGGCATGGGAATATAGTTTTATATTAGAAAAGTTTATGACTACTGACACTCACACAGCGTATCCGTGATTTCGCTCAATATGTCCATGTGAATGCTGATACAGAGCCTGAAATTAGCTTCAACTGTTTCCTACCACATTGTTTTGGTCATCCTCCAGTTCACTTCTGTACTGGGTGTTACTTAAAGATCTGGCACATATGTAAGGGTGAGTTGTACATGCCAAAATAATGATAACATTTCACACAATCATAAGACTCCTTTCCAAGTTGACGTTCAACTTTTTTTCCTCTGTTCCAAAATATTCTAAATGGTGTACTTTCATTGCTTCCAGTCTGTACTTAGAGCAGCATGAAACTGAAGATAAGGATATCCTGATTAAATTACCACATTATCAAAATAACTTAAAACTAGCAATAAAATATATAATAATTATCTTCACACAGATCTTGAACTGCATACTGCAACAGGTAAAAAGACTCAGCAATTTTCAGTTTTTAGATTCTACCTGGTAACACACAAAACCTTAACGTGATTTATAAATACAAAACAAGTTCTGTAATTTACCTGTTCAGACTCAGTACTGAACACATGGGCCAAGCGAGTACAAAAGGGATGACCAAGAACTACCCATTCTTTCTGAATGAGTGTTTGGAAGCCACGTAATGAACGCCAATATGGATCCAATAAAACTTGCACTAGGCTTGCCACAATACAGCACATGTCCCGTCCATCACCCTCTGCAAGTGGAGAAACTGGTGATAGTAATTTCATGTTTACATGATATTTTATAAAACAGACTTATTTTAAAAACAATTTTTATTATAGCTTACAAACTAAAAATATAATTACAGCATTAATCTTACCTACTAATACGTGTGTATAAACATGTACTGAAAAATTAAATTTGTTTGGTAAATTTAGACTGTTATCAGCTTACCTTGTAGAACCACTGTTTCATCTCTCTGAATAGCTTCTGCAGCCTCAATGGATTTACGCAAACACACTGATACAATTTGAAGCCATCGACTACCCTCAAGTAGAGAGAAGAAATTATTATCTTGTATCCAAAACAGACGAAGACTTTCTGTAACAGCACACGCATCTTGTTTGTATAGTAAAATTACAATTATTACATCACATAGGATATGTGTATGTGAGAGACAAACTTGCTGTTGCTCACCATTACTCTTAAACCAACTCTAGTAGAATGTGAAGATTTAACACCACTAATACCAAAACCCACACTGGACATGATCCTGAGGCAGTTCTATCCACCACCTCCATCTTAATAAATCCCTAAGATCAATCTTAATATTACTTTCCAATTCCAAGAGTTTTGCTATCAAAATTCTGTAGGCATTTCTTGTTTCATTCAATCTATTATTGCCATCTAACTTCATTTTTATTGGGTGCACTGTTGCAAAATTATCTAACTTGTGTGTCAACCAGTAGACCACTAGGGCAGTAAATTAATTTGCTACATTAATTGTTAACTCTTTCAACTCTAGATAGAGATCTGATTGAAGTTCTCACCTGGTGCACACAGTTCCCTGAATTTGGTGTAGCTGATCTGAACATCTCTAGGACTAGGGAAGTCTTTGCTTAAGTCAAGCAACACTGGCTGTCTTCGCTGAGGATGAGACTTTCTTACATTCTCCAACATCACATTTTCTTTTACTCTGTAATGTTAAAGCACAGAATAATCACATATGAATGAAATCTTTCGCCGTGATTTAGTGCTAATCAGAATCCTGTTTCTGGGTTTTGGCTGTGTTACTGAAATCTAAGAGTTTCTTACTGCCTCCATCTTCCAAGACCCTTGCTGATACATAAAAGACAGGTTCACGGGTTTTCTGATCACATGTATATTAACGAGTTCTCAGTACCTACCTGTCTGTGATAGTCGGATGGATATCTGCCATGCGCACAAGAGCTGCTCCATGTGATGAACCCCAACACCAAATAGGGGGCCTACTTCCTCGAAAATGCCTCGCTGCGTCTCCTAGCTGCCAGTCCAATACTTCTTGTGGCACAATCAACCACTGAGGTAAACTGGAAACATAAAGACTGTTTTAAAGTGTGTCTAAACATAAAAGTTGTGACAATGTGGCTTTTAACTTTGCCATGTGTACTGGTGTTTTTGTCTACATGTACCTCCTAATGGTATGTTCTTAAGCAAAGATGAAAAGCAGTGGAAATAAGGCACCTCTTCTTTTGGACCATCAAAGAAATGTCATATGTAAGCACTTTACTGTATATTACATTTAAGCATATTTTGATTTGCCAAAGTATCTTCATGTGTATACTAAGAAATTTAATTTCAAACCATTTGTTTGAAAATCAACTTTTGTAAATTATTCCAAACAGAACAGTGTTGTATCTTATACATATCTTGCAGACTTCTGTGAGTTAGATTTTCACGGCTTAAGTGCTGTACACATATTCATTCTATTTATTCACATTTTCTCAATGCATAACACATGGAAACCACTATGTTCAGCCACTTAATGAATAATTTTCATCTCATTCAAATATTAACATGCTTCAGGTACAGACAACATCTCTTATGGCTCAGAACACTTCTTCAAAATTCTTCCCATCCCAAATATTAATAATTTCACTATTAATGTCCATGCATTGTGATTTTTTGTCTTTTCAGATTTATTAATGCAACTGACATGCATCGTGATGCAGTAACATAACAGTGACAGATGAGTATGGAGCAATGGTGGATTGATGATTAGCAGGGGCCAACCAAAGACGGACTCTAAGAAATCCTGCTCCAGTACCATTTCATTCGTTATGATCCTTACTTGATGTCACATGGGACTGAACCCAGGTCTTCATAGTGAGAAAATGGTGTCTAGCCACCTCAGCTGTGGCAAAGCCTCATCTTTCAACAATTTAAGATACATAAGAAGAAAATAAGGAAGGAAAAAAGAGAAACAGCCAACGTCAAGCATAAAGAAGGTACTTGTTAGTGATTTCCAAGTAGCTGTACACTTGTTTCACCTAGTGGAAAGCTGAAAACTTTGATTTACAGCCGACAACCTCCAACCCTGGCAACCAGTCCTCAAAAGCTCTCGTTCCCAATCAGCCAGACCCCGGAAGGAACACACTTCTCGCTGACAATTATAGTATGGTTCTCTAAAATAAAAGTGATAAAATGATTATACATACTGTACAGTCTGGCTGTATGCTACAACCACAAATCCCAGTAGTTGTTTCACTTCACTGAAAAAATTAAATTAAACAAAATATGGGAAAACTCATTAATCTGAAAATCATACACAAACTACTGTTGCCAAAATAAAGGAGCCACTTCAACTACCACTTCTGTCTGCTATATTATATTTTAAATGTTTCATCTCTTCAGAACTCTCTCCACTGTCAAAAATAAAGCTTTACTATACAGTTAAAATTTTTAAAACAAATTTGTGTACAATAAAAATAAATTTGGGTCTTGGTGATAAAAAATAGGTTTTTTTCTTTCATTTTTATGTTTGGTTTAAATGACATCCTACCATACAATGAAGTCCATAATTTTGTTCTGACTGCGAGGTCTTGTTTTAATACATATTCATCTATTTCTCAGATACCCAAATTTCAGTTTAAATTAATTTGCTCTATAAAATATTCTGATAGTTAGTATACATTCTGGATATAATTAACATGAATCACAAGTTGTTCTTGATAATGAATGTTTGCTAGATGTCACATAGATCACACGGTGAAGAAAGTCTGGCTGTACTCCAGCCACCAGATTCTGCCTTATAGCTGGAAAGAATGCCAGTATTTTGGACCCCAGAAGGCTGTCATCTTCATGTATAATCTTGTTACAAAATTTAATATTCCCAGCTCCAATGGTCTATTAAGCTGAGAGCTAAATGAAAATTTTCCATGCTTGCCATGTTGTCTAGTACTATTCTAATTGACAGGGTAGACTCTAATGGTATAATGTTCATTACTGAATTTGTGAAACTCAATCGGTGCAAAAATTTAAAAAGAGAAAGTAGGTTAAAAGTATCTTGTATATGTATATGAAACAATGTTCATACAGATTTCTGTCTTCTGGGTTGTTGTGCTGTGTAGTATGGTAGATGTTTACCAACGTTTCAGAGGTCATACTGCCTCCTTCATCAGGGACGGCAGTATGACCTCTGAAACGTTGGTAAACATCTACCATACTACACAGCACAACAACCCAGAAGACAGAAATCTTCATACTCACCGCTGTGAAAACCTCAAATCTTACTGTTCATACACTTTACTGATTCCTGATATGGCAAAGCATATCCAATTAAAACCAAGTCCAGAACTTTATTTATATTACTGAGAATTAAGTCATACCTGTAATCATATGCAAAAAGTAGCTGGTGTCTCCTTGGAAAAGCATGGTGTAAGAGTGCATTGGTTAGGTTTTTGCCATGTCCTACAGGTGAAAACTTAAAGCTGAATGACAGCACCTTCATGTTCTGAAATGGGAACATTTTAAAAATATATTAATAAAAAATGGATAACGGATTCTGAAACATGATATGAATAGTCAGTAATATTTCATTGTATTTATATACATCCGTTATGTTTAAAGTGCCCTTGATGAAGCTGAGAAATTAATTGCATATATTAAAAGAACTTGTTAACTTTTTGACTGTTTGTTCATATAATGTATACTGGTTGCTATATTCTCTGGATCTTGTGATTAAAAACAAAATGTTACTAATGAGGCTCTACAAAGAAAGGGGAATTTCTCAGGTTAAGACCTTAGTAAATGTTAAAACCTGTGTTTAAAAATCCATTTAATACTCTACACATTTACAGCAGTTGCATTACACATTCAATGATATGAAGGAGAAAGAAAGGAACATCAGACTTTAGTACAACTTCCCACTCTTGTTTTCTGATTGGGATTACATAAATCAAACACTGATAAGTATAAATTGTCTCTTGCTGTCTCTGTATAAACATCATCTTTAATGCTGGTAGGTGAAAATAATTACTTTGCATAAAATATGGAGGCCTCTAACTTTCCCAGTTACGTTATTGCCTGGCGTAAGTCGACGTTTCTTGTCCCCTACTAGCTGGTAAACCACATCCACATTTGACAGGCACACTTCATATTCTCCCAACAGTAAATTTTGCTGCCCACTTTCCTGAAAATATAATAAATTTATTATTACAGGTTTTACTTTAAAAAATGGCAAAACTAACATGGTCACACAATATATTTCAGAAACAGTGCTAATATGAACATGACAATTTATCAATAAATTGCTGAAACTAGTTTGAGAAGCATCTTGCTAATTAGCATCTGAATTCAGTGATGCTTGAATAATAGTGTCAGGGATGCAGTCTGTAATTATATAATATTATTTCAATCATCATTTATTTCACTTCCATATCTTCCACAATTTACTACAAGTGTACTGTAAGTGCTCATGAAAGAAGTGATGACTTAGGGATTTTATTCCATAAAATGTGGGTGATTTTATGATTAGCTGAGTGACAGTCAGCTTCTCAAAGACTGCTCCATGGAGTTAGTAAGTCAGTACAATAAATTGACTTACCTCTTTTGGCCTTTCTTCTGTGGTAACAAAAGCAAGCTTGAAGTTTGTAACACTCAAACTTCCTGATTTACCCTGCTTTTGCTCACTAACAGGAGCAAACAACAATACATTCTGGGCTTCAGCAATCACAACCTCACCTGCACATAATACATACTATCAATATTATCAGTATGTGCCATGGCAATTTGAATGAAACTTCTAGCTAATACTTCTGGACTGATGTTGGTCCACAGTTTGGAACAATACATACCAGGCAACAGTCTTGGGTTTAGTTCTGTGAAAGAGTCATCACCACTTGTGTTCAGTGACTGAAATAAATGACAGATATATAATGCACAAACACATGTATTGGCTTCGATATCACACGAGTCCTTCAGAAGCTAAAAGTCACTCAACTAGTCAAGAAATTCCCCAGCTTTTATGTAACCAAGAAGTTTATTACCATATTCACTAGTCCCTATCCTGAGCTACATGAATCAAGTCCACATCATTGTATCCTACTTTCTAAAAATCCATTTTAATATCCTCCCATCTAAATCCTGATCTTCCAAATGGTTTCTTCCCTTAAAGTTGTTTGACCAAAATTTTATATGCATTTCTCACCTACCTCAGCCCCTTGTTCTCAAACATCCTCCACCTGTGTATATGTACAAAGTTAGAGGTTGGATTACAAAGTGCCTTGCTTTATGAATTTCTCAGCTTGAACCAGATAATAAGTTTACTGTGTGTTTACAAAGGCATGTTTTATCTACAATAGTCAGTCTATTATAAAAGTAGCAACATGGATGACTCTTACTTCATCTGTGAAGTGCTGACTTCTGTCATTCTGAAGTAAGAAAGAAATTAACAATAAAGGTCTAAGACATAAACCTTTTCCACCCATCTTGAAAGACAAGGGCTTAGATTGTGTGGAACTATCATTCACTACAAAGTATACTGGGCCTTCAATCATAATCTGTTAAGTTATAGAAGTGACAGTGTACCATCTACTACAAAAGTGGTACGAACCTTCAACCATAACCTATTAAATTACAAAAGAGATCATCTCCACATATGATATTAACAGCTTTAAACAACTCTTTCATATCCTTCTTTAAAGGAGAAAACGCCGGTTCTTATATTATTTATTATATAAAACATCAGACCAAATCCTATATTTACTGCCTTACTTGTGAATCATGATCTTCAAAGCCTACGTAACTTTTAAAACTATTTGACATTTTTCTCTCATTCATTCTTATATTTTCACATTAAATATACTGTTTAAAATACTTCTTTCGCTTCTACACGTTAATAAATGACTTCTAATATCCATATCACGATTTTGTGCAAATCCGAATGAAATATATTAACTTCCCACAACTTCAACATCTCACAGCCTTCTTCTACAAATGCCAGCTCAATAAGAAACTGAATTAATCTACGACTTGTCGCGAGGATTGGACATTGACTTTGAATAACGTGTAATCGTCGGCTGTGGCATCAACTTGCGTAATGCTTTGTGGCAGTTATTGTTACGTACGAAATGAAATAAAGTGTTATCAGGGATTTGTGTAGGAATTTTGAGAAAAACATAATAAATATTAGTCGTTAAGGCTGACTGAAAGCGCTAGTCATACAGATATCTAATATAGTAAAACATTTATTTTATTTCTTCCCATTGCAGTGGTTCGGCAAATAACGCGACATACTGCATGGACCAATATATTAAACAAAACTCGGACACGGATAATTCCAGAGACATGGAGACTGTCAACAGTAAATGTGTACAAATGCTTACTGGGTCATTAGGCCTGAAGTGTACTTTGTTCAAGACATACACTAAGAGATAACGGAATCCCGTATGAAATGAACAATTCAGTTTTGGGCATAGAAGAAAAGTGTTCTATTTCATGTTTATAATTATCCAACTTTATTATTATGACATTTACTTTAAATATATTTATTATTTAAAATAAATTAAAATATAATATACTCCAATTCCATGTAGCAGATCTTGTCTGTCCTTAGCCTACCCGATCATAATAAAGAAAGTGAAAACAGAGACAGAGCAGGGGACAAAAGTAATAATTATTTATTTATGGTTATAAGTATAATATGAGGTGATAACTAAGTGACACACCCAGATGGCCTTCGCGGCACACCTATTTCACATCATTGGTGTATTTGGTAACCTACAAATCAACATTGCAAAGAGCCAAGGAGAATACTCTTTGCGCTACCCATGATTAATCTATGCATTTCCATAATAACGTTGCAGGGTATGTAACATCAAGAAGAGAAAATAACAAGAGTTCACAGAAGATAGAACTTTGCCTGTCCAGTGCCAGAGATGGCGAGGAAGGAAGGTTTTGTTGCAGTGTGTTAAACTTTATAGGCAGTGTAGTGAAAATATGAGTAGAGAAGTTTGGAGTGCTGGCGAATCACTTCTTTGATGGGCAAGTTATTTTTCCTTGCAATAAATTCTACGTTTAATTTTTTTTGTAGAAGGTCTCTTATGGTTTGTACTCAGAAAGTTTGATTTGTAACCGCCTTGATAAGCAGCAAAAGAAAAACAAAGAGCTTTCAACAGACATGATTTGTGACTGCAGTTCTTGTCTTCCATGCCATGACTTAGATTAAGAATGCTTACAAAAATAAGAGGACATGAAGAATAAGTTGCAGAAAAAACAGTGATTGCAGTAAAGCAGGCAAAATTAATACTAGGTAGAAACAGCCTGAAAGTAGGTGGTGATGGCACTGTCTGTGAGTAAATATGTTAATTCTTTTGATGCAAGGTGATAAGTTGTTACATACAAGAAGTAGTACAGATATTTGTGTCCTTCCTTCTTGGTTGTCTTTAATTGTTTCTTTGCATGCAGAATAGATGCAAAAATTGTGTGTTTTAAGAATCTTCAGGAATTGTAATTTAATATTATGTCATGACTGTAATGCCTTTTTTTAATTTCTTGCAGTGTCTGTTTATGCTTTGTTGTTCCAATGGAGATCACCACTGAACATTCAATTCCCTTGGATATTCTTGATGACCTTGGCAGGTATTTAATTAATTTTGTATGTGCTGTTAGATCATTTCAGTCTTAGAACTAATTTTTACTTCCTGTTATATTGCCTGTTGTTACTTATAAATACACTGAACTACATTAACTTTATATAATGGGAATAGGTGATTCAAACTGCTGTATTGTAGGTGCACCAGTTCACACTTTAACTCCTGGGCGAATGGTTTACTAGTTTGACACACAGGCAGTTGAATTATGCATAAGCCACAACACTTGGATGTCAAGGGTTAACTCATTCTATCGCACACTATATTCCTTGAACAGTTATAATTATTCCACTGCAAATGAATTATTTTTAATGTAAGATTGAGATTTTCATGGTGGTGAAGATGACAGGGTTGTGATGCCATGGTGACTTGATGGAAGATTTCTATATTTTTAATCTTTTTTTGTGCTTGTTTTTGCAGTCGTTTTATAATCAATGTTCCTGTGGAAGAGAGAAAAGATTTGGTGAGGATTTGTTTTCAAATTGAACTTGCACATTGGTACTACATTGATTTTTATTGTGCAGATGACAAAGTGGAAAAAAAGCTGAAGCCATGTGGTATGAAAGAGTTTACTGCCCATATGTTTCAAGTATGTTTTTTTATTGTTGTTTCTGCCTCTTTTATTATCATGTTTCATTGAATTACATTAATAATTCTGTTATGTGTTTTGTTTAACATTGTATGTGTTAATTTTTAATGTTATGTAGCACATACCATTCCTGAAACCACATTCAAAAAACCTTGATTCAATATTGGAACAATGGCGAGATTATAAGCAGGCTGTACCAACATATGGTGCCATATTACTCAATGAAGATCTTTCACAAGTTCTTCTTGTCCAGAGTTATTGGTCTAAAACATCCTGGGGTTTTCCTAAAGGCAAAGTGAATGAGGAGGAAGATCCAATACGCTGTGCTGCCAGAGAGGTAATTCTGTTTTAATTTTATAATGGTGTCATGGTGTAAAAATGAGGGATTACACAGAATAAATGAATGAGATTTGAGGTATGTCTCTCTAGGTTGTTGTGCTGTGTAGTCTGGTAGAAGTTTACCAGTGTTTTAGAGGTGCTTGCTGCCTCTATTATCAGGGCAATTGCATCAACTTAGAAGACATTCATCTTCATCATATGTGAATGTTTAAGTTGATGATATTGCATATAACATTTAGTGAATATTTAATCATACAATATTTGGCATTCATAACTTTTACAAAATAAACTGATGTCATATAAATTGTTCGTATAATGTAGGAATCATTTTTTCTGTCTTTGGTTCAGGTTTATTAATTTTAGTCAGTTTTATTTTCTCATACTATAATTCTAATTTTTAGATTTTTAATGACATTATTGGTTGTTAAGTATTGACATATAATAGGGCATTAACTTATTTGAAACTTACTGTAAAGTGGAATTTGTAAATATTTTCTAGTATCTTTGGTTTGGCAGCAGAGTTTTAAGTTTCTCTGTTCCTGTTATATGTCACATGTATTGTCGTTTCCCATAATTTCTTTTTCAGGTTTTAGAAGAAACTGGCTTTGATATGAGCAAGATGATTGATAAGAATGAGTATATTGAATCAACAATTAATGATCAATTGGTACGTCTCTACATCATATCTGGGATCCCACAGGACACAAAGTTTCAGCCTCGGACCCGAAATGAGATTAGGAGCATCGAATGGTTTACGATTGCCGAACTTCCATCCAGTAAGAAGGACAATTTGCCAAAACTTAAAATAGGTGTTGCACCAAGTGGATTATTCATGGTTATGCCATTTGTTAAGTGAGTAGCATTCCTAACCACAGTATGAAATTTTATCCAATATGTAATCAGAAACATCAAAATGCTTTCTAGCTGGTTTGCTAGAGATGAATTATTTCATTTAATTGTACATAATAATGAA